AGAGTGTCTGACAAACATGAAAGGAAACTAGTTTTGACTTTTCTAGAGAGTAAATCTTCAGCAGAAGAGCTAAGAGAAATCTCAGCTGGTCAGACCTCCACAGCCTGGTACTGCCATTGAGTGCAGTAGGACCGTTCCAGTTATTCAAGTGGAAGCCTGCTATAGAAAACATGTAAGGAGCATTTATACACTGCTGTGGCCTCAACCTTTCCTAGTTACAGACAACATCATACTTTGTCTACCCAGGCTGTGATGATGGTCTTTTGTAATGATGGGTGCTCTCTTGAAGGTCTTGCACGCTGCATCTGACATGGTGATAGAGAAGCAGGAACTACAGCTTTTCTGGGTTGAGACCCTGAGAAGTTGACAAGTATTTGTCTTGGATTTGGGTACTATTTTTTGCTTGTGTTAACATGACCTTTCTGAAATGCAAAGTGTGGTGTATTTGAGAGATGTTTTGTTTCTATTTCAGGCTCTCAAGAAGAGGGCGAACCATCATATTTTCCATCCATCAGCCCCGCTATTCCATATTCAAGTTGTTTGACAGTCTGACATTACTAGCTTTGGGAAGGGTGCTGTACCATGGGCCTGCAACGCAGGCCCTGGAGTACTTTAGTTCTATTGGTAAGTCTTGTGTGCTAAGTGCAAAGGCAACTGGCTAATGAGTTTAATCTGTGGGTAGATTCTTACCCTAGCACTGGATAACAGTCCTGTGCTGTTCTATCGCTAGGATACCAGAGGCTGTATGCATATGGTCTGAACAGTATTACGCTAGAACAGGAAAAAACCAAAATGATAAAACCAAAATTTTTCTGACAACACAGAGCATGGCACACTCCTGCCTTTGTTTTGCCTTGCATCAGGACAAAAACCCAGAATTGCTTGGACATTCAGAAGCATGATGCACAACAGACAAGATGAAGCTTATAGTTCTACCAGGCCTAGGTGGCAGAGCCAGTGGGTTTTGAACCACAGCCTGCAGATTGGCAGCAATCTGTAGGGGCTGATCCAAGAATCTGCTCTAGTCTGAATGCAGGTGAGCGACCAAGAGGACAAAATCGTGGTGTGTCTTAAGATGGGTTAATAATTGCACTGTTGGGTGGCTGCCCCCTCTCCACGTAAGCAGGGTGAATGTTTCTGACTATAATGGACAGAGAATGTGGAGTGAATTTCCAGTCTAGTCCAGATGCAGCCACAGACACATTGGACTGTAAGCTTTCCCTGGCTTTAAGGGAGATGCTTTAACCAATCTCACTATTTCTACTCCTACTCTTAGTATCCTGCCTTGCTTCCTTTCTCACAGGAATGCTATAGAATAAGCATCCTTGCTTTTGTTGTTTTGTTGTTGTTTTTTTTTCTTTCCTCCTCATCCCATAGCTAGAACCATATTATAAGAAGCTGCTCTTGGACAGTCCTTACTCTTCCTTGTGACCAAGGAAACACAAGCAAGAGCTGAGCTTCGAGAGCAAGCATCTGAGGCTGTAGAGCAGGCATCCAGCAACCTCTGCTGAGGAACTGTGTGTCTTTCAGAGTGGGATGTGGTTGAACACCACTGGGAAGGAGGCAAGAGTTGTCCATGCTGAGCTATGTAGAAGCAAGTTACAGACTTGTCCTCACCTGAAATCAGTGGAGAATAAGCAACTTTGAAGCTCTGTATAGATACCTCAGATTCACCATCTCCTAAATCCTGTCCATTCTACTGCTGTAAACTAATGATTATGGAAAGCAGCGAAGTTTTATTGTAACAGGGTTGTGGAAGAGTGATGTTGTGGAAGAGTGATATAGTATTAGACCTGACCTTCCAAGCTGTGCTCTGTGCAATACAGACATGTTGCATGTGTGTTTGTTTTTTTTTGTTTTTTAAGGATATGAATGTGAACCCTTCAACAATCCTGCTGACTTCTTTCTTGATGTCATAAATGGTGATTCAACTGCTGTGGCAGCAAGCAAGGAAGATCACGGACCTGTGGACACAGGAAAAGGTAAATTGTGAAGGAGAAATCCACCATTGGCTGATGTAGAAGCAAAGTTGTATGTGGTGATGGCAAGCTTTTATTCTCTGGGTTTCCTCCAGTCTAAGGGCACTTCATTATCTTTTTATTTTTCCTACTAATAGATATACTTTCTTTTGGGCCTCTTTAAAGAGCTCAGAAAACTTTTAAAAGGGTTTTTTTTCCCTTCCTTCAGTAATATAGGAGAGCAGTGATAAATCTGTGTGGAAAAGACTGAAAGAATTGCTTAGTCTCAAGAGACAACTGACAGAAGACAGAAGTTTTCAGTCATGTAAGAGGCTGCTGCAGAGAAGACAGGGTAGATAGGCTAGGGAGTAATGGTCAGTGAGAAAGACTGGAACTAGATTAGAGAACAAACTCTAACAATGTAGTGAGGGAAATGTTGGGAAATGATTGATTTGGGATGCTGTAGCATATCCATGACTGAAGGATTATAAGGGAACAGTTTTCGTAATGGTGCTTTTTTGGGATGGGGGAATGGATCAGAGCAAACATTGATTTCCCCAAAATTCAGTGAAACAAAGGTTTTCTGGTGCCTCATTCTAAGAATATGGCCACTTTTGTGCCACAAAAAATGGGCAGTTTAGCTAGGTTCAGTTAAAACTGTAAGGAAACCCTCTCACTCAAGCTAGCCT